AGGGGGGGGGAGAGATAGGAACTATTTTAGGGCTTTTATGGAAATGGAAAGAAGCAGAGAGTAGGTTTAGATGGAGACAGGAATAAGGTTCAAGAATTGAGTAATATTTAAGAGAACAAAATCACTTCATTTCTTTACCCAAAGGGTTTTTACACGCCACTTACTATGCATATTGACCAAAATACCCTTTCTCTCTCTCTCTCTCTCTCTCAAACTTTTATGTTCCAATAATTTTGATGTGTCTTTAATTAATCTTTCACTTATTGTACTAGTTTTCAGAAGAGTTAATTTGAATAAAACAAAGTGTGTTTAATTTATATTTATTATATGATTGTTTCCAAGTTACTTGATTACGTCATTTTTATGAGTAATACTATTTATCTTTAAAATTTTCCAGTGTACAAATGCATTATAACTCGTATAAAAAGTCACGAGTGATTAGTGGAAGGCTTGCAAACAGTTGTGACTTTTATGAAGAGTACGAAATGCAATTATATCATGAAACATATCAATTAAAAAATGGAAAATAAATAATTTCTGAAGTCAAACTTCAAAAGCTAAAGCTAATAATCATAAATGGAGTTACGCAATACATATATATATTATGTCAAAGGAAAACTTGCAAAAGCTTCAATGGGGTTGAGTGTGTGTGTGTTTGTTTTGTGCCATTTTTCAATTAGGCACAACTTTTGTAAATTTTGATTAAAATCTCTTATGGTTTAAAACAAATTCTGAAGAAGTTGACTGAAAATTCAAGTGTTCTACTTGAGAACAGTTTTTTCGTTAGTGACAACAACAATTATTTGTACTTATAGTTCTCTCATGGTTATGGTATCGTACTTGTTCAATCCACTAAAAAGAAAGAAAAAAAAAATTGACCTTCAGAAGTTGACTTGAAGAGGCAATATTATTTAACCTTGAATTAACAATAAAAATTTCTAAAAACTGCGATTGAGTTGAAATAGTTTCCCTTTGAAAATAATGTTTATCCAAAGCTCTATATGATCCGAATATATATACATCTTGTCGGAGATGATAGATAGTCGATGACCCTTAAAGTGAATGGATCCCACGATATAGGTTCAATAGACAAAAAAAGTCACTTGAGTAGCCAAATTATCGTGTTGGGGTTTCTCGTATTTCCGCCCCTATTATATAAGTAGCGTAACTAAGTTTGAGGTTAAGCTGAAAGTTCTTAATTCGGATTCATCCCATGAGAAATTTGGCTGATATTTCTAAAGAATTCGTGAATATCAAAGTAATTTGCATGGTTTAATTTTAGTCGATAGACTTCAGAATAGTTGTTATTAAAGTGTTTGCTTCTCAAAATTTGGGGGCATTATTATATGTATAAATACATTTCTTTAGAATTCAAACTTTGTGTAGTGGATTTATTACGATAATTTAATTCGTGGAATTTTCAAGTCATTATCAATTGTTCTTTGGGTTTGACTTTACTATACTTCAATTTATTCCCCATGAATATTACATTTTTTCCCCTTTGAAAGTAAATGAATTTTACCTTTATCACCTTAAAATTAAAGATAGTATATGTGTTGGATTTCATTCTTGAAAGACTACACTTAATTGTACCATTTGAATTAATTAGTTATATATTTTTGTAAATTCGTTACATAAAAGATTTAGCCCCTGTTTTGCGTGGATTAAAATTTGATAAAAATTTAAGTCGAAGTTAACAATTAATCTTAATTACATATGTTATAGAATTCACAACCTTTATCAACTTTTTAATCACGCATTTTACCGACTTTTTCAAAGTCTACTAAACATAGATTCTTAGCTGCACCCCAAAAAAAAAAAAAAAAAAAAAAAAAAAAAAATAATTATATTTCCCCACAAAAAAAAAAAAAAATTGAATTAAAAAAAAAAAAAAATTGAATTAAAAAAAAAAAAAAATTGAATTAAAAAAAAAAAAAAATTGAATTAAAAAAAAAAAAAAATTGAATTAAAAAAAAAAAAAAATTGAATTAAAAAAAAAAAAAAATTGAATTAAAAAAAAAAAAAAATTGAATTAAAAAAAAAAAAAAATTGAATTAAAAAAAAAAAAAAATTGAATTAAAAAAAAAAAAAAATAATTATATTTCCCCACAAAAAAAAAAAAAAAAAAAAAAAAAAACTAATTAATGTGAATTAAATAAAGTCAAAAGTTAAAAATCAGTAATGAATATACATTATGTCGCAATGACGGAGTTTTCCATATATGGAACTTTTTGTCAAGAGTAAAAGTCCCACATCAATTTTATAATAACACAAAAATTAATTTTTAAGAACTTATACTATAAAATCTCATAAAATAAAATATCAAGACTCAATATGATTTTAGAGTCTAAAATGTTCAGACAAGCTAAGATCCAATTAGAATTGTGATTGACATATATAGGTTGCCATCTCAAGCTGTTACAAACTTATTCATCAATTAGGAACTATTAAAAAAAAATGTTTGTCTTCAACACGTTCACATATGTTGATCTTATTCATTTTTCCCAAAACAAATGTCTACTTTATCCATAATTTTCATAAATGAGTAGTGAACTTCCATATCATAAACCGTCTCATGTTCCTTGGTCTGTTGGGCACATTTCATGATTTACCTCCTTCACAAAGTTCTAGAGACGGGACGGTGGGGGCCCTGAAGATTGAGGTTCAACCTTTATATATTTTTAAATGAAATGGTACAACCCGACGTGCCAAAGTTTGATAGTTCAATAGAAAAATTCAAAAAAGATGTTGACATTATGGTGTTTGCGCCAATTGGAGAGGACAAAGGCATGGATTACAGAATCTAAGCTTAGTGACACCAAATAATATAGTGGTTTAAAGGACAAATAAAGTGCATAGAAAGTATAATGTACTCTTTAGATTGAATTTTTTTTGTTTCCTGCAATCAATGTCCGGGCAGCACTAAAAGTGGCAAAATGTTGCCCTAATTTCTCACCTATGTTCTTGAGAAAGCAAAGCTAGCTAGCATTTTACTAGACATTAGACCTTTAAACTCCTTAGGAGTTAGCATTTCACTCGAAAAGTACATTTATTCATTTCGGGTAGGAAAAAAGTTCTTAGCTTCCTAATTTGTCAAAGATAAGGTATACATTAAAGCAGACTAAATGGTAATCGTAAAAAACGTTGTGATATATATTGAAATAATAAAGGTAAAGAGTCTCCGAGTTATAGTAATTAAGAAAGGAAGCCAAGAAAGAATAGATCGACGCTGTCAGGCCTTAATCTACGGCAAAAAGTCATAATCATTTAAGCATATTAGACGATGCAATATTATTTTGAGCTAAGAAAGAAACCATACGGTACAATTCTATTACGTGAACATACCGTATGTATCAAGAGAGTACATTTAATTGAACTAAGCTCTGCAATGTGTGTGTGTGTATATATATACACACGCGCGCGCGTACAAGAAAGTATAAATCTTAGTCATTGAGTTGGATAAGCATTTCGAAAACAACATTAGAATAAGAATTGTTTCACTAAATTACTAATTCAATTGTTTAGGAAGCTTGAGTCTTTCACAAACATTCTCATGTCTTTGGACACTTGACTTTTTATTATATAGATGTAGTAAAGACGAGTATTGCCTGATTTGGATATACATAATTATAAAAGTTCGTAAAGAAGATTGTAACCTATTAATTTATTTTGAACGAGATTTCCATGTATTTCTTTTGTAGGAATATTTAATAACTTTTTTCGTTTTAAAAAAAAATAAAAATAGTTTCTATAAAGTTGCGAATGACCATTATTCAAATTAAATACTACTAGCTAGATAAATTTTGTAATAGCCAGATAAATTGTGTAATTTTTAATATATAGACTCGTGATTTTCTAAAAGTAAAACACAAAAACGTCTGAAACATGTCAATTTAAATTCTTTGAAATTTAAAATTTTTGAATTAAGCTGTACATTATTTTTTACATCTTCCTTGACATTTCTCCTATGTGTCAAAATCAGGCAGTGATGTGATAGGGATTTATAGAAATTAATGGGTTTGATGGATACTAAGTGAAAAAGTGTCAAACTTAATGCAAATAAAAAGTACATAAAGCATGATTGTAAATTTATATATCATATCTATATAATAATGTTGTAACGGTTGTACTACGTGTACATAATGATTTAAATATACATGATACGGTAAAATATAATTGGATCAGAATTTTCTTCGACCAAAGAAAAAAAAACTTCTCTACTTTTTTTTGACACTTCATCTATATGTAAATTATTATATAACTTCATTATGTACAAGTAGCATTATTCATGTTATAATATATGACATAGAGCATGACATGTGACTGGTTGGATTCATGTCATGGAGTGTCCAACAAGGCACGAGCACGCCACCCTAATAAGACTATCCGTGCTTCTTAGCCAATAAAAATTATGTACATCTTAAACCATGAATTAAAAAAACATATGAAAGCTACTTGCAATAGTGCAGCAAAAACCAAAGTGACCACAAGATGAAACATCACAGGGAGAAATAGCCAAAATTGGAGCTAGAAAGCAAACAAATCTACCATTATTTCCATGTCACATAAACTGATATAGAATAAATATATGAGAAAACTGCTGCTATGAAGTTTTACCTAAGGCAGCCACTTGCAGCAGCAAAATAAACTTGAAAATTTCCTCTTCAAGCATCTCTCTCACCATAGCACTCTCACGCTGGTTGCGGAAGAGACTAAGAAGCTGTCACGCCTGCCCGAACAAGACCACAAAATGTTTATTTTTATCCATCGACCATGCTAATATGTGTCAATATAAATAATTTCTAGCCCCACCCTCAAATTTAGAAAAAACATATAGTGTAAATAATATGTCCACGATATTTCTTCTTAAACCGACAAACTGAGAGGAGGATAGCCGCAAGTTTGTAATATGTTTTGGATTTATTCGAGGAAAACTACAGAGCGATGAGCGACTAAGGGAAGCCCACATAGGAATACCAACAAAGATGGAAACCAAATGGAGTTGCAGACCTTCTACTTTGCTCTTGGAGTGCCAGATTGAGACAGAGGTGGGACAGCTCCTTCTTTTAACACACTCCGAGAACAGCTAGAGCTATTAATGCACAGTAACATGTAACCACACAATAGCCGATGTGGGACATAAACTCAATGGTACGAGAAATTTGATCCAAATTTTTTATCGACGAAATTTAATAAGTGCATGAATTATAGTCAAGTAATAAAAAAGTGAATAAAATATTGTTCCTTCGAGTAATGTGTATTTAACTAAAGATCGTCATGTACATTCTTAGGATTTGGAACATTTCACCTCGAACTGTTTACAGCTTTTATTTAGGGTCCGTTTGATTGCAAATATGTTATTTTGATGGAAAGAAAACGAATTCCAGGAAATTGAATTGCCTACAAATTGTTTTCTTGAAAATTGTAAATTATTGTGTTTGACTAGTATAATTTTTTACGTGGAACATGTTGAAATAAAAGTGTTTTTGATATTCGTTGGACTTTGTTTTAGATGAAAATTATTAATTAAAGAGATAGATTTTACTAGTATTGAAAATGAAAGTTTCAAAATCTTATGGAAAAATTAACTATGGTTCCATTTGTTACATGAGGCAAAAATTGAAGACCGTAGTTGTAAAATTTCAATTTAAATATTATATAACTCTAGTTGATCATGAAAATTAACTAATTTCCTCTACAACGGAGCACTTCAATGCAGCCTGGGAATTTCTAATTCTAAAGCATATTGCAATCGTATTTATTCAAAATCCCCTTTACCATATATGCCAGTGGTACTAATTGAAATGAATGACCTTTAATTTTCGTCAACTTCAGTCAATGTTGCAATAATTTTAAACTGCCTCCACTTGTTTATATAACTACAGAATATCAAGAAAAAGGACTTCACTCGCCATGTTATTGCAAAAAGGAGAATTTTCCACGCCTTTTTGCCCATTTAAGCTAAAGAATTATGGAAATTACTGCAGCATTTCTTTAGATAATTGATATTATGCTTTTCCTCGTATATGCTTTTCCCAAGATATGGCCACACCATCTAACGTGAACATATATCCAGTAGTGGACTTAGCCCTTGTTTGGTCTCCATTAAATTAATATTCATTTTTCTTTCTTTTTTTTATCAATCATATATTTTCCAATGGAATAATATTACAAGTAAACCTAAAAAAAATTATTTTCTTTTTAACCACATTATTCAAAAAATTACTATTCCTTTCATTATAATTTGAAAAAATGGAACCCAAACAAGGGTTTAATAGTTACATTATCAGTTATCCAGTTTGCATCGCTATATCCTTCAATAACATTTGGAAAACTTTTATAGTTTATAGAATAATCTAATGTACCATGGAACTATTTAAGTGCTCTCTTCAGAATGTTCCAATGGTCTTTACTTGAATTATTAGTATATCTACTAAATCTCCAAAGGTTATATCAGGTCTTATCCTATTTGATATGTACAATAAAGATCCAAGAATTTGAGAATACTCAAATTGTGAAACTTGTTCACATAAATTCTTCTTCAAGAGCGCATTTGAATCATATGGAGTAAAAATTGGTTTACTGTAATAATGACTAAACTTTTTCCACATCTTTTTAATAGCATTAGATTGATATAGTGAAATTCCTTTAGATATTTTCTTTAACTTCATTTCCAAAATTAAATGAGCTTCTTCCAAATCTTTCATTTTAAAATTATTTGACAAATAACTTTTTACATCATTAACAAATCCTAAATTTTTCCCAAATATTAATATGTCATATACATATAAATGTCCTAAAGTTACCATTTTTCACCTTTTAAAATGAGTGAAAATGTGAAAAGCTGGATGGTTATAGTGAAATGTTATAAGAAATTGGGTGGTCTTGGTGAAACGTTATATGAAATTGGATAATTATGATGAAATAAAATTAAATTTGATGACAATGGTGATACTAAATAAAGTTGAGCGACTATAATGAAGCAGAAATCAAGTTGGGTGGAACCCCGACAAAACCCCATAAAGAAACAAGCTTTACCATGAAATTCCCATTTCGTTAATCCATCAATCTTCAAGAATTAGCCGGAAAATCCCATTAAAAACAGCCCTATTGTTTTTTTTTTCCCAAGAATTGTTGCCAACCCTCTTCACAGTTCTTCATATGAGAGAGAGATATAATAAAATCGACAAATAATAAAGTAATGAAGGAAAAATGTTGGATTAACTTTGTGATTATGCTACTAATACATAAAAATAATACATGAGGGATTATATAAAATGATGCGGAGGGAAAATATGGGATAAAAAGTTGACTATATTTTAAATTAGCAAATGATATAATGATATGTGATATAATGTAAAGTTTAATGTACATGTTATTTTAGCTGCAAATTTGTTGATGCATTGGATGGAATTAACTCATTTGTTGACATTATTAAACAATTAGGGCTCTGAAAGATGTGTGTTGATTCTCTTGAATGCGTGAAGCATTAGAACGATGCATTTGGCTTTTCTAATTAACTAATTAAAGGAATGGTATACATTCACATTTAAGGATTGCATTATGTAAATTGACTAATTTGCCCTCGGTCGGGGTATGGTAGGAGTGATATATTGCTCAAAACCGCACAAATTGGAACGACCTACTTGGTTAGTAAAACTTCAACTCATTTTGGTTCTAATTATTAGAATTATTTGATTCTCATCTGATTTGATTGAGTAAAAGTCCGTTTTGAAATGTATGGTCTTTTTCAATAATACATTTTTCTCCAAACTCATTTTCAATCAATATTCTCTTAATAAAATAATTTTATACGTAAATGTAAAACTTTTTCTTAGTTTTCAACTACACATTTTTAAAAAAATTATTGTTCCAATATCTATTTTTACCAAATAATAAGGCTTCAAATAAGGGCTAAGTTTTATGTGACTTATACAATACAACGGTTAAAATTTTGTTAAACTTAGGCCATGTTTGGGAGATTTGTTTTTTTAAATCATTTCTTTCAAGAATCATTTTTAACACGTTCTATGGAACTCATAACTTATTTCTATTTTTCAAATAACACATTCTACGATAATATCATTTTCATGCAGAAATTATCTTCTTTTTTTCAATTGCTTGTACCATAAAATACCATATTATTCCTTCCAATTTCAATTTGACATGACTTTTACTTTTGCATTCGCTTATTATAGAAGAACTTCTTTAAAAGTTACCTTAATTTTTATTTGAAAACTAATTTTTAAAAACGCTTCTTATTTTGAAAATGCATTTACAGAAAGTCACATTAGACCAACTTCATCTAAAGCGTTTTTAACTAAAGAAATACTTGCATAAAATTAGTCAAACGAATAAAAAAAACAGATATCAAAAGCTCATTTTGACTTCTCAAAATGAGTTGAAATACCCTCAATATACCTAATTGGACTAGCTTGCAAGTAAATAGAAATATCAAGGACTAAAATGATAACAAAAAAAATTAAATTTTCAACCAAATGAAAGAGCTACTTGAAACTCGTACGATAATCGATCAAACTGCCCAAATGATTATAAGTGAAATAAAGGCCTAGGTGACTTTTTCATAAGAAGACCTGGACGATTATCCCTACCCTCGGCAGCTTATGAGGGTATTTTAATCTCGATACACAAACTAATAATTTACCCCTAGCTCTATAATCCCCAATCCTGAAAACCTTCACGCGAGCTAGACCTCTTTCTCAAGTCGAGTCAAAAATACAAATTGAGATGATGTAACCCACATTACATGATGTAAAAGAATCCAACATCCTTGTCCACGGCTAAAAATCTAATTTGGGGGTTTTCAAAGAAAACAAGAGATCTTGCAAAAGCCAAAAGTGAGACAGTATACAACAAAAGAACAAGTAGACAAAATTCCAGCATGTTAAAGTGATTCAAGTTTTCGGCTTACTTCAGGATTGGACATCAGATTGGGCTTTAACTTAGCAACTCAATGAGCTCTTGCTTTTTCATCTTTGAGAATCCTTTCAAGCCACGAGATTTCGCAAGAGCTCTCAACTCGGAGAGCTTCATTTCACTTAGATTGGCTATGATCGGGATCTCTTCTTCCGCATCTTCATCATTGTCGCTTTCAAAAATTTCAGAAGTTTCGTCTTCCAACATCTGATCAAACACGTCCCCTTCTGAAAAAATTGGCTCTACATCAGGTTCAGCATTAGATTCCGTCTCCTTGTTTTTCCCATCTAAATTGTCACGTGAGAGAGATTTAATAGAGCCCTTGTCTGAGTAAATGGGCTGGAATTTGACTTGAGGGACTGGAGACCTTTTACGGAAGCTAGATGCTGGCCTGGTAACATGTGGTTGGCTTTGTTGCATCGCAGGCTTCACACTATTATTAGAGTCTACTATGCTCGTGCTTCTGTCTTCAGCAAAGACATCTATCTGTTCAGGGTGGTCAAGGACAAAGTCCCTAGTGCTGGCACTGTTGCTGTTTTTCTTCCCCTGCTGAGCTGAGTGTTTCCTTAAAAGCTTGAGAAGAGAATCAACAGTCTCACTCTCTTTGCTTTTTCCTTGCGTATCCTCAATTTTCCTCTCTTCCTTGACTGCTGTTCTTTCACGAAGACGAGCCTGGACCTTTCTAAATATTTCAACAATATCCTTTTCCCTAGGACCTGGAGTCGAAGTCGCTCAAAATTTCTGGTTTCCAGAGACAGAAAGTAATGGACCATTTTTTGAAGAAATAATTTCGGATTCTTCAAGGTTCTCATAACCATCTCTCTCTTCACTGTACCTGTTCCAGCTGCGGGAGAACCCACTTTTGTTTTGCCTTGAAAAATCTGGATATCTTTAATACCTACCAGAACTCGCATTGCATGCAGAAGCTCTGCCCCCAGAAGTACATTTCAAAGATAAAATCTTGACATCAAAAATGACTTTGTGGTCACCGCGAGAAGTGCTAGGTGATATGCTCACTGCTGCTCCTGAAACTCCGGAGCAAGGGAGACATCCATCTGATGGCCCATATCCTATGATGAAATTTGGATTTGGACGCACATTAGAAGGCTCAAAAAAAGAAAACGGGAAAATCACAACGCAATAAAATCTACAGGGACCCAGTTCATTTGTTGCTTCTAAAGAGAAGATCCAACACTTTTTGTTTATATAGTTGGAAGGTCACGTGGAAAATAGATTGCATAAAGATTTGTATATAAGTAGAGAAATTTAGCCAGAAAGTAGCATAGCTGGGACGAAGAGCAGGGATATTGGGTATTAACTTGTTAACTTTTTGATGGCAATATAAATTCAAATCCTTGTCAATGGTAACTATCATCTCCAAGCAGAAAACTTAACTGTACTACAATCATCTCCAAAACATAGACTCATAGTTATGACTCATGATTATGCACTTGATCAGCAATCATTCTTCAATAATATATATTATTCAATCATTTGACATAATCAGCCACTCACACCCCAACCCCCACACCCACAAGAAAAAGGTTACAAGCCGCAACTGCATCTTCACTTTCAATTCCACATTCGCCATTAACATCTCATCACCAAATAGGACAAACACAAAGGCAATTCTATTACAAGAAGTAATATATTTCATGCTATCCATCACAACAAAGAGCAAACCTTGAAATTTCAGACAAATGCAAGACTTCAAGACAAGGAATGGATAGGCAGGGTTCAGAAATAAAAGAATCAATTCAAGCATCTTGCAACTGTTTCGGTGTTAAGGTTACGTACAAATTATACAACAGTGAACCAAGAATTTAACACTATATTACTTATATGTGATAGATATCATACAGTCACAGCTCGTAGCAATATCAATGTGATATGATGATCATTGACCGCAAGGAAGCACAATAAACCCAACCACATTATAACAACTCCCAGAAATCCATCAGATATATTGCAATTGGGTCCCATGATCAATTCAAGTACTTGATAGTGATTCATGCGTAGAATGGTTAAATACCTAGAATACATTGGGCTTCTCCTAAATTGAAAATTTATACTTAAACCTCCATGGAATCAAATGCTCATAGTGGTTGCGTCCTTTAAATGGCCCCATTTTGTGGATAAGAAAATAGAACTCCATATCTCAATAAACGTGAAGAGCTAACAAAAGACAATATTCCATTTCCCCTCATCCACCTCAATAATTTCAATTGGAATCTGCACATATACAGTATACTAGCTACAAGTTATAAAACTACATAATTCAGTTTTTCCCACGTGCTCTTAGCAATTAATGTTTTGAGCAGCAAGATAAGCTGTAGTCTAAAATACCAGGCCACTTTATGTCAGCAACAGAATTAGAAGCCAAATTAATCGTTGACTGTGGTTAGTGTCTCGTTTTCTTTACCCTTTCACGCCTTCATATAATTATAGGTAGAACATTAATAAAAGAAGCTACCTATATAAATGCGCTATTTCAATTTCACCACGTGGCAATACATTAATGTTTAAGTCATCTGTATAAGTCAACATTTGATTACCAGTCATGTATTATTAGTCCTAAACTTCTCCTTTTATAAAAGAGGAATTTATCTAAAACGCCTTAAGTTGAGGTGCGATGTGAAAAAAACCTCATCTTTTCAAAATTTTTAGAACTAACTTATATCACTTAAAATTTTCTAAAATTCCCTTCTCATTATCTGTGTCCTCCTTCTCGTAGTCATCCAAACCCACTACGATTAGGGGTAAACTTTCTAGATTGGGATTATGGAGGGATTTGATTTGTATGGTGGAGGGGCCTAATTATAGTGCTAGGGCCTTTTAAACTAAGAAATAGGAAATATGTGTAGCAAAGCCATTAGGAACAACTGCTATTCGTAAAATTGTAAAATAAAAATTACGATAACCCAAACTATATTAGCCAAAATTACAAGCACTATAAATTCAAGGAATTAAACAGATAAAACCAAATCATTAGCCCAAAGAACGAGTAAAAATATTCACAGTCATTTCATCAAGCAGATAGCATGCATCGTCAGAATAAACAAAACCAAATTATTAGCCCAAAGAACGAGTAAAAATATTCACAGTCATTTCATCAAGCAGATAGCATGCATCGTCAGAATAAACAAAAACCACGAATTTCATACATGAACACGTTAATGCAAAAGAATATTCTTTAAAGCCCACAAATTGTGAAACTCCAAACATAAATGCTGGTGCTTTTGTGCGAGCATGTATCCAGTACTTCAACTAAAGAAAAGCAAAACAAGAACTTCACACACAAACAAACAAACCAACCTGGAACTGTATTGTAGATTAAATGAATTGAACTCGACATGCTCGAAAACAGCAAGAAGAAGATGTTTTTCAATGGCTGTGCGGCATTTCACACGTCGACACACAAATTAATGGTGTTCTCAGTGTGCAATTGCTATATATTCACCATAGATAAGGGGCAAATGAGAGGTTGGTTTTGGGCAGATCCCCGTTACGTAAATGGGCCGATTGTCTAAATGGGTCGGCCCGTAATTAATTTGGATCCAATCCAGCCCATTTCCCAAGGTCCAGTTACCTGAAGGGTTTGAAATTAGGCTTGGGAAGGGTTTGGTTTTGGTTGGTTTCGACTACAACCCAAAATCAAAATCAAAACCAAATTAATCGGTTTGGGTGAATTTAACGCAAATCAACTCACTCTAACTCTTAGACCAAATCAAATTTGGTTCAGTTTGGTTCGATTAATAGGTTTGGACTTTTAGAGTCCAAATTGAATTTATTTTTATTTTTTTAAAAATTGTTCAAATTTTGAGCCCAATTAGATTACAAAAATTAAAATAAAATCAAATTAATATAAACATATCAATAGAAAACTTAAGAATTTTATTGACTTTTTATGCATTATATAATATAACTACTTGAGTAAGGAAAATGCTAATTATAACATAATGAGCCCGTAAAAGAAAATTCTCAGTACTATTTCTTAGCGGCAACATCATCGATTGGAGAGAATCGTGATATAGTTATGAAATTAGAACTTATCTTTTGATTTTTATTTTTCTTTTAAAATTATATTAAAAAAAAGGGATAAACATGTAAGTATGTTGAATTGGTTCGGTTAACCAACGATTTGAGACTTCAAACGATAATCAAATCCACCCACCCACCTATCATGGTTTTGTTTAAAAGAAAACCAAACAAAACCAATTACTTGTGTCAAACTGCCTCGAGTCGGTTCGGTTTAATTGGTTTAATCGATTTTTCATTTTTTTGCCCAGACCTAGGAATTATGACATATTTTTAGGAATTGAAAATATTTACTATTTTTACTAATAATTTTCTAAAAGATGCAAAGATATTATCAACATCATAATTTGGTTGGCACATCCACGTTTCAACAATTTGGTTGATGGTTTTTTTCTTAGAAAAAATTCATATATCAAGTGTACTGTTTTCATCAATTCACAAATCTTGTACAAAGTTTAAAAATTCAAAATTCAGATTTCTGTATAATTAATTGAAAATATTTATTAATAAAATATAATAAAGTCACAGTTACATGATTAATGGTCATCGATTCATAATTACTGATCACAAATTTACTTATTGGTTACAGATTATTTCGATATCACAAATCAAAAATTTTGTAGGTCACTGATTAGTTTGAGATCAAAAGTCAAAAATTTTGAAGGTCACAAATTATTTCATTAGTCATAGATCAAAAATTTTGTAGGTCACAGCACACATCATTGGTCACAAATTCAAAAAACTATAGGTCATAGGTCACATATTTTCAAATTTGATGATCACGAATTACTTTTTAATGACAAATGATCGAATTTTAATGTCACAATTTACGGTCACAGTCGCAGATGGGACCATATAGCTGGTCACAGACATCCAACATCCGATCTCGACACCAAAACCACATCTACCAACACCAACAATACAACCACCACCAGAAACCATCGCAGCCACCAAGACCACCACACTGCCAGAAACACCTCCAAACACACCCAACAATACACCACCTCCCAACGTCACCAACACCACTGTGCCCATAGTACCACCAACCAGAAACACACCATCGCTGCACCACCACCACAACCACTAACAAATACTCCTATCCCACAGCGTCCCACCACAACCAACATTACAACCACATCCCCCCAAAACCACTAGCAATCAAATCCTACTACCAACATCACCACCACAACCATGGTCAAGATCTGAAAATACAACCAACAAAATCCCAAAATCACTACCTACAGATCGAAAAGCGAAAGAGATAACACCTAAAATCATACCTACTAAATGTAGAAGAAGGTCGAGGTTATGAATTTACTTCGACAACCAATCGGTGAACCATGTCGAGGCCCGATTGTACGTTGCATCTGATTCAAGTGATGGCAATCATCACCGCTCTTCGCGGTATCTGCAGCGACGTTGGCGTTGCGAGCCACTGTGCAACGACGCTTACACGTTCGAAAGAGGTCGTTACTATGGTGTTGTGGTCTCTGGAGACGGCGGCTGCTCGTGTGATGGAGAGGATAGAGAGACAGGAGAGGGGGAGAGAGAGAGAGAATGAAGGATGGAGTGAAATGAATTTGAATTTTAGGGTTATTGTTATATCAGATATTTGATTAGAAAAGTTGGGCTCATGATTTATGTACAGTGAACATGAAAGCCCTGGGACAGTGTAATTTCCTTTTTTCTTTCTAAGATGGTCTTTATAATAGAGTCGATATCACTTTGTGAATTAAATTCTGAGCAAATTTTCTTGCTAAGTCATCATTTTCATTAACCATGTCAGCATTTGAAATAACTTAATAGTCAAAAAGCATAAGCCCTTGTTTGCCTCTTATTTATAGTCGGGTCACAATCGATCTATCATTTTTCATGTGTGATCCACAAATATTATTCATTACTCAATTTTATTTATTTATAAGTTAAACATATTATAAACAACTCTCAAACAAGCTTTTAACTGAAACAAATATGTAACTTGAACGAGAAAGCAAGACAAGGTCGAAATAAGAGACTTGTTTTTAAGCCAAAGAAAATGCACATCACATGCCACATTTTGAAGTCAGCAACTCACTTCAAACCTTAGAAAGTAAATTAACAAAATATACCCTCGAAAATTCATAAATCTCAATCCAACGGTCAAGAACAACGATGAACTCAGATTTCATGAAGGCCGTTCACATGCCATTGTGAGAAAGAGCACGAACCAGAAGTGAGACGAGCTTGCAAAGTATTGACTAGTCTTATTTAGATGTTGCCGACTGGAAGATGAGAAGAGGTCCGATATGAGAAGTGAACGACAAGATCATACATGGAAATAAAGCAAAGCAGAGCCTTTCTCTTTGCAACTCACATCTATGCTTTGTGAATTTTTGCCATTTCATCGACATCCAGTTCAACTTCTAGAACAGGCAAATCCTTCCTGGCACTAAAATGACTGAAGAAGTAACATAACATCTAATCAGGGACGAAAAATTCCTATAAAGTTGAATAATTACTAATTGCCCAATAATCGAAAAGGCTAACCTATTGTTTACAGGTCCATGATCCACAACCGTTCTAAGGCAACATATTACTCTGCCGATAATCTCGGTCATAGAAACTGGACCAAACGTTCGGCTATCGTATGCTTCTTGCTACAAGAAAGATCAAAAACATCTCAATAAGTAACGAACGAATTCAGAAAACTTATAATATCCATATCAAAATTGAAAATAAGTAAGTTGCTTATATTAACGGTGCTGTCAAAGTAAGTAACATTTGACTTAAAAGTATGTTATCAAAACATGTTCAGCAACAAAAAAAAGTTACTTAGAAATAACTTTCACTTATTTTCAAGCTTGGCCGAACATGCTCTAGACTTTCTCAAAGACGCTACACAACCTGGAAATTCCCTCGATGTGCAGGAACGGCGAGGTCCCTTTTAAATATGCTAGTAAGAAACGAAAGAAGTAATCATTAGACATGAAGGTGCATATACCTTAGTCTTTAAATTTTCATTATCAGCTAATAACCAACACTGATCCCTTTCAAGGACAAAAGGCTCGTCCTTTTCATCGATAGAAGCCATCTCGTACCCTTCAATAGCAGCTAACCTCCGAACAAGATACTTCTCTATGCTCATAGGGTCCTTCAGGACTACCACATCTCCAACACCTACTCTCCTGTCACAAACGGATATTGTGTAATAAAAGCTGACATTTACAGCCTCCACCATAATGCGATAAAAAAATGTTAAACCAGAATATGTAGAAGCCAAATTGACTATCGAACATAATGGATTCTGAACTGTGAGTAAAACTTGAAGATAATTTTGACCAAATCACAACTTATTAAGGAAAATTGAATGTTGAGGATGTTTTGAAAACCGAAAGAGTTTAATTACAAGTAAAGAAGTAAGTTCTAAAATTAATTTTTTTTATACTAATCAAATTTGGAAATAAGAACTCATTTTAATAGGAGAGTTATTTAAGAAAAATTAAATTATCCAAACATGTTTCGGGGGAAAAAATGGTTACTTAAAAATGTAATTTTTACCTTTTTCAAGCTTTGCCAAACGTGCCCATGTTCCACAAAGTAACTAATGGAATGCTAAAACAATCTTATTAATACTAACAAATTTGTTTATGAACAGAGGCATCATCAGATTACATTAAGCTATTATCATCTGTCAAAGTCAAAATATAGTGGCTAGCTGAGCGAAGAATATTACAAATTGTATTTGAGGGCAGGTGTCAGTACAGGATAAGGAATATTAATGCTGATAGCAGATGTTTATATGTTCTGTGTGCATGAAAGACGAAAAGAGAACAAGAAAGAACAAAGTTGATTTAAATTTGGTCCAAATTCTAAGCCATTTAGTCTTATGCTTACTGCCAAATCGGAAACATGATTTTGCTTTTAAAAGGAAAAAGTGTGGAAACCAAAAGAACTTCAGGAAACTATTTTTGCAACTTTATCAAACTCGAATGATATATAATTCACAATTTCATATCTTTTTCGCGGTAACATACATAATGGTGATCGATTTTGCAAGGAATAAAACCAAAAAATGCAAGCTGGATATATAGTTCAAAATTAAACACATGTCACGCAGCTTGGCTAAAAATTGGTGAACCGGTCAAATATTCACTCGAAATATGCTCTCAAGTCAAGTGTACATAATAATTATTCCAACACCAGATTTAGTTTCAAGGAGGTGTGAAACCACTACTACAACACCTATTTAGACGCTAAGTCCATGAGAGATTCAACCATATGCAAGTATAAAGACTAAATCAGGTATCGAGGCAAGCATAAGCGATGCATAAGAATAGAAGGAAAAAAAATGCTCATAATAAACTATAAACCATCTTGAAAATACATAATAAAACCAATTCACAAAAACAAAAGTGTAACTTGCAAACAAACATAATTAAAAAGAATAAAATGCATACATAAAGGATGAACAATAAGTTCTCAAATCAGTAATCACATAACAAACAACAATCTACTTAAACACCTAGAACTAGAAGTATCTCATACCTGCTCTTAGAAGTAGAAACGCCTAGAAGTATCTTATATCATTACTAATGAAATCTTGAAAATCATTGAC